TCTTTCTTTAGCATGAGAATTTATTGTCACTTGTGGTGTTTTTAGGATTTGGAGTGGATCAATTACGAGATGACAATCTAGAAACTTATTGGCAATCAGATGGCTCCCAGCCTCATTTAGTGAACATCCAATTCAGGTAATACATTAAAAATTTTTTTTCTTGAATTTATTGCAGTGATGTTGGTTAATAAAATTACATAGGTTTCAAGTATACAGTTCTGTAATACAGCATCTGTATATTGCATTGTGTTCATCACACAAAATTGTCTCCTTCCATCACCATATATCCTCCTCTACCTCTCTCACCCCCCCTTTTCCTTTGGTAATCACCATATTCTGTGAGTTGTATTTTTTTTTTCCCCCTCTTAATCTTTTCACCCAGTCTCCCCTCTGTCAGCTATCAGTCTGTTCTCTCTATCTATGAGTCTCTTTCTATTTTGTTTATTAGTGTATTTTGATCATTAGATTCCATATATAACTGAAATAATATGGTATTTGTCTTTCTCTGACTGGCTTATTTCATAATACTCTCCATGCCCATCTATGCTGTTGCAAAAGGTATGATTTCCTTTTTTTTTTTTTTTTTTACAGCCAAATAGTATTCCACTGTGTAAATGTACCACAGCTTTTTTATCCACTCATCTACTGATGGGCAGTTTGGCTGCTTCCAGATCTTGGCTAGTGTAAATAATGCTGCTTTGAGCATAGGGGTGCATATATTCTTTCAAATCAGTGTTCCAGTTTCTTCAGATATATTCCCAGAAGTGGAATAACTGGGTCATAAGGTAATTCCAGTTTTATATTTTTGAGATAACTCCATACTGCTTTCCACAATGGCTGTACCAATCTGCATTCCCACCAACAGTGCACAAGGGTTCCTTTTTTTCCACATCTTCACCAACTTTGTTGTTTGTTGATTTATTGATGATAGCCATTCTGACAGGTTTGAGGTGCTAACTCGTGGTTTTAATTTGCATTTATCTGATGATTAGTGGTGTTGAGCATCTTTTTATGACTATTCGCCATCTGAATGTCCTCTTTGGAGAAGTGTCTATTCAGGCCCATTTTTCCATTGGATTGTGTTTTTTGGTGGTGTGTTTTATAAGTTCTTTATACATTTTGAATATTAATCCCTTATCGGATGTATCATTGGTAAATATGGTCTCCCATTCAGTCTTTTCATTTTGTTGATGGTTTCTTTTGCTGTGCAAAAACTTTTTGGTTGATGTAGTGCCATTTGTTTATTTCATTTCTCTTGTTCAAGGAGATATATCAGAAAAAAATATTGCTAGGAGAAATGTCCAAGATTTTACTGCGTAATTTTTCTCCTAGGATTTTTATGGTTGTGAATCTTACATTTAAGTCTTTAATCCATTTTGAGTTTATTCTTGTGTATGGTATAAGAAGGTGACCTAGTTTCTATTGTTTTTTTTTGGCACATATCTGTTCAGTATCATTTATTGAATACACTGTCTTTACCCCATTGTATGTTCTCTTTTCTTTTGTCAAATGTTAATTGACCATAAAGGTGTGGGCTTATTTCTGGGCTCTCTATTCTGTTCCATTGATCTATATATCTGTTTTTATACCAGTACCGTGCTGTTTTGATTACTATAGCCTTATAGTAGAGTTTGATATCAGCTAGCATGACTCCTTCAACTTTGTTCTTCTTTCTCAAGATCACTGTTGCTATTCAGGGTCTTCTGTGGTTCCATATAAATTTTTGGCATAAATGTTCTAATTCTGTGAAATACGCTATTGGTACCTTGGTAGGAATTTCACTGAAGCTATAGATTGCTTTGGGTAGTGTGGACATTTTAATGATATTAATTCTTCCTATCCATGAACATGGTATGAACTTCCACTTATTTGTATCTTCTTCCATTTCTTTTTTCGGTGTCTTATAATTTTCTGAGTATAGATCTTTTACACCTTAGTTAAATTTATTTCTGGGTATTTTTTTAATGCAATTATAAATAGGATTGTTTTCTTAGTTTCCCTTTTTATAGTTCATTATTTGTGTATAAAAATGCAACTGATTTCTGGATATTTATTTTGTATCCTGCTACATTACTGAATTTATTTCTCAGATATAGTAGTTTTTTGGTGGAATCATTAGAGTTCTCCAAGTAATACATTTTTGAATTTTTTAATTTGTGTAGGTTATAAGTGGGCAAAGAAATCTATTTTTCTGACATAGTTTAAAAAGTATAGAAATTATAGTGAAATGCACTTAAGTCTGCATTTGATAAGTTTTAGGCATTATTTTTCTGCTAACTAGAATGTGTTTAAAGTTTACTCCATCATATCCTTTATGAATTCTTTATGATACACAGTTCCTATTTCATAGATATTTTTCAGACATACTTTTCAATATGATTTATTTCAGAAAAATATGCTTTGCTTGTGACCCAATACAATAACTAAATGCATGGCATTAAGTACACCTGGAGTGACTTCCATTTGGAAAAAAATATTTTAACTTAGAACCTCTAAGGACATTTTTAGTTTGGAATGCTTTTTTTTGGAAAAGGAAACTGGCCATTTATATATATGTTTTTCAATTGCTTTGAATTTACTGATTTAGATGAAAATCGTTAACTTTGTTATCGTGCACTATTTACTAGTATGCCATCTGTTTTTAGTTTGTTTTTATCTTCCTACATTACAGATTAGCCAATTTCTTATGGAAAAGCCAGATAGTAAATATTTTAGGCCTTGTGGATTATCTGGCCTCTGTTATAACTACTCAGTTATTCTATTATAGCATGATGTGCCAACTCCTGTCTTAGAGTATTAAATATGTATACCCAGGAATAAAAACAGCAGCTAATATATTTTTTAAAAAACTTAACATAACAAATACTTTGGTAAATGGCTTCCCCACTTACCCATTCATTTTATTTAACCTTTACAGCTATTTTTAACCCTTATTTTGTAGTTTCAGAGATGTATAAATTAAGTAGCTTGCCCTACATCACACAACAAGAAAGTGAAAGGATTGCTATTTGAACATAAATACTTTGACCAGAGAGCCTGCACTTTTAACTATTATAACAGTATAGTCTAGGGTAAATTGTTTCTTTGTGACATCAAAGGTGTTGCTTAAAAGTTGTATCATGAGTATTCTAATTTAATTGTATTATATTAGAACTAGTGGCCTGGTGCACGAATTTGTGCACATTGAAAGGAAATTAATTAGAAGAAATATTTTAATGTCGCCATTCACCCTTTCTCTGTAATAGAAGTGTCAACCAAATTCATAGTCGACAATGACAGATCGAAACACACGCTTATCTATCTATCTATCTATTGATAAACTTGCTTAATTAGACTTGCTTTCTGATTTAGCTAAACTCTTTCCAGCCCAGTGAAGCACCCCCGCTTCTCTTTTAAGTAATTGTCAGCAACACAGCAGTAAATATCAACATGAAGAGATTATTATTGAAATCTCCATTTTCCAGCTAATGAAAAGAAAATAAGATTCTACCAAGTCTCCTATCTACCTACTCCAGGACTTCTGTGAGAATCAAATGAGATGAGGCATGTGAAAACGCTTCACAGACATTTGGTTAAAGTTTAAAATGTTTGCACCTGGGTATAAAGCAAGTCATGTTCCTGGGTTGAAGAAACTATAAGGTTAGTCACTAGGTAGAGGTAGCTGGGCATCGCTACGTGACGTCATTACATGGTGCCTACAGCTACTGTTTCTGGGCTGGGCTGGGCTGGGCTGTGGGCCACATTTTGAGCCGGGGGTCTCGGCAATGTCGGCTGCTATTTGGTGGGGTGTCGCTTCAGGGTAGTGATGGGGCCTGTCAGATCGAAACACACGCTTATCTATCTATCTATCTATCTATTGATAAACTTGCAGGGTAGTGTCCCACTTGGAGGGAGCCGAGTGTTGCTTTGTGGGTGCCAGATCCACGGTGCCATTTATTGTTAAATGGCCCGTCGCTAGGGAGACGAAGCTAGGCATTGCTATGTAATGTCATTACCCGGTGCCTACAGCCACCTTTTCCAGGCTGGGCTGGGCTGTGGGCTGTGTTTTGCACCATGGGGTCTCGGCAGTGTCAGCTGCCATTGGATGGGCTGTCACTCCGGGTGGTGGCAGGGCCTGTATTCCACTTGAGTGTTGCTTTGTCGGCGCCAGGTCCTCAGTGCTGTTTCTCTGTAAATGGCCAGTGCGCATCACGGCAGCTCCTGCATTGAGTGTCTGCCTCCTGGTGGCCAGTGCATGTCATAGCGACCAGTCAGAAGGTTGGGCACTTAGCATATTAG